CCGCGGTAGAGGCGCCCGGATTGTCGAGCGAGAGGCACAATTTACTTGGGGGTGTCCCGGAGGCCGCGCAGCAGAATGTACATGTTTCTTTCGCGGGCCTGTTGGGCTGTCATCTAAAACTAGAGGTGAAGGAAAGGATCTGGAAAGGAGAGTTCGTAGAGCTCTTTTCGCTTCTCCCCCTTGAGGACTACATTGACCTCAAGGAGGAGGATAAAAAAGATGCTAAGAGGAGGAAAAGAAAGAGCGATATAGGAAGATCCCTAAGACGTTTGGGAAATGATTGAGGGCGTTCTGCATCGTGGCCAGCGTGATGGGTGACAAGGCGGCGGAGCTCTGTTCACAGCTCTTCGGCTACCTGGGTGGCATTTGTGAAGTGTATTGCAGGAATGGGGGTCTGGCATGGTGGCGATATAACAAGCAGTTTTGTCAGCGCCGGGCGGCTAACGCGGGGATGCGGAAATGGACCTACCAATCTGAATAAAACTTATGATGGCACAGAGGGCGTCTCCCTTTCAGCCGGGGGCGGCACGTGCGCTTCCACCACTGTGTCGGCCAACCAAAAATGGGGCTATTGTTGGCTATATAACGAGGGGCAGTGCAAGTGGGGGGGGGGCACGTGCCACTTCAAGCACGAGTGCTCCGGGTGTGGAGGCTCCCACGGACTCCACAGGCGCTTTAAGAAAGGTAAGACAGCTCACGCAGCGGAGCCCGGAGGTTCGGCCACATCCCCTGCAACTGGGGGGCAAATCCAGTGAAGGTCGGCGCGATGCTACCTTGGCTAAGCCGTTACGCTAACTGGGAGGATGCGTTGTTGCTCGAGGAGGGGTTTACTAAAAGGCTTGTGATCCCATTTCGGGAACGGGTGGTGGTTCATCGTCTTTGCAATTTGAAGTCAGTGGGGGAATTTCCGGGGGTGGTCAAGGAGAAGTTACTTAAGGAGGTCCAGTTGGGCAGGGTGGCGTGGACCGTTCAGGGAACCCCCCCACCTAACTTGAGGGTATCACCGCTAGGGGTGAGGCTCCGGCAGGTGGCGCCTGGCATGCGAGCGGAAGGGATGTCTTGCCCGGACGAGATGTGGCGGCTCGGGACATCATGCTTAGCGGACTGATCAGGGACTCCCTGGCACCCGCTACCTGGACGGCGTACAGTAAGGTGTGGGGGGGAATGGGATGAGCTGGTGCAGCATACGGGGGGTCAGCTCTCAAAGGAGGCCCGGTTGGACGCGATGTTGTGGCTCTTGTGTAGGTCATTCACCTCAGGGGCCTCGGCAGCGGTAGTTGGGCGTAAGCTAGCAGCGTTAGCCTTTTTGTTCAAGTTTAATGGATGGGAGGATGTCACAAAACATTTTCTCATTAGGCAGGCATTGAAAGGTTTCAGGCGGAGTAAGGTGTCTGTGGATTCCAGGAGGCCGATTTCGTTCGAGTTGCTTCAGCAGGTGGTCCAGGTGCTGCCGGGGTGTGTTTTTTGGGGTATGAAGTTACACTGTTCTCCGTGGTTTTTAGTTTTGCTTTTTTAAGGGCATTTTGTGTCAGCGAGCTGGTCAGCAGCAATCGCCAAGGGGCCGAGGGGCTCCAGGCGGTGGATGTGGAGGTGTGGAGTAACAGGGTAGTGATCGACCTGAGGCGGTCCAAAACGGATGTACTGGGAAAAGGGACGTTGGTTACGTTGTGGGAGCTCCCGGGTGGGAAAACGTGTCCGGTTAGGTGCACAGCGGCCTTCCAGGAGGAGCGGGCGAAGTCCGGTGGTTCTTATTTTAAGCATGAGGACGGTTCTTCTCTATCAAAGTTCCAGTTCCTCAGGGTTTTTCAGAAGGCGTTGGCAAGGTTGGGAGTGGACCTGGGCCAATTCGTGACTCATTCCTTTAGGATTGGCGTAGCTACTGAAGCGGCAAGACTGGGCTTGGGGGATAAGCGGGTAAAGAAGATTGGCAGGTGGGGGTCGGTGAGGTTCAGATCTTACGTCAGGCCTGACAAGTTGGTATAAATCCTAAGGGTGGTTTCTGGGGAATTTTGGTTCACGGTTGTTTCGTGGTTGTCTATGTTTGCATTATGTCTTACAGGTCGGATGGCATGGGTAGTCGGCCCCTCATACATATACTGGGCGCATCGGAGAGCTGCAGTTCGACATTGTGGTCTACAGCTGGGCTTTCCAAGTTCCGTGGTTTAGCTTTGGTGGTTTGGTACCGGGGTTGGGGTTGGAATGCAATTTGTGTTGAAATGTTTTGCAAAATTCTTTTGGGACAGGTTCCGGACATAGTGGTGCTTCACGCAGGGGGCAATGATGTGGGGTTGTTACCTCAAAAGGTATTGATTGAGTGTATGAAGAGGGATGTGGAGAAGCTGAGGGAGTTGGTGCCTGGGGTTATGGTCGGAAATGGTTCCGAGGTTTCACTGGTGTCACGCGCAGAATCCCTCCGCAGTGGCAAAAATGAAGGGGAAGGTCAATAAGGTGATGGCAGCGCATGTGAAGCGGTTGGGAGGGGCACAGGGAGTTGGAGGACATGCTTCCAGGTTATTATAGGTGCGATGGGGTCCATCTCTCCGAAGTGGGCTTGGACTTTCTATTGTTGGCTCTGAGCTGTGGCAGGGGGATGGAGAGTAAAGTTGGGCGGAGAAAAGAGTGAGATGGTGAAAAAGTTTGGAGTTCAGGGCTAATAGGTAGGCCTTTGGACTGGTTTGGTAGGTTCAAGCTCGTAGGTAGCTCCGAACCGGGTGTGTAAGGGTGTCTCGGTATGCCCCTACACTTGTGGTGCCCTTTGGTGGCAATGGTCATGTTTCAATGTTAAGTTAAATGTTACAATGTTTGGGTATGTTATGTGGGAGTGGGTCATTGTCAGGGGGTTAAAATTGTTAAAAAGCAGGATGGTAATTGTGCAGGCCAACGTTGGCCTGCTGTTGACAATTACCTTTATATTTTATGTTAAGAATCAATAAAGCTGTGATATAAATTTTGCCAAAACTATGGTGTCAGTGTTTTATTGGTAAATGGGTAATGGTGGGGTTTATGCATATGCCGACAAGGCGACCGTGCACATGTCAAGGCACTTCCTGTTGACTAAGCGACTTTTGGTCACCTAACCGACTCTGGACATCCTCACACTCTGCATAAGGACATCCAGAGTCAGTTATATCCCCATAGGAAGGCATTGAATCAATGCTTTCTTATGAGGAGGGACTAATGTGCACATTAGCCGCCCTCCCCCCCGTCATATGACAGCAGAGGAGGCGGAGCACTGACCCAGTGCCGAGGTAGATCGACGCTGAAATCAGGTAAGTGTTAAAAAGGATTTTTAACCCTTTCTTTCTGTGTCCTCGTGTTCCCAAGATGCCGCCGTTGTGAATTCCACACTCTGCCCTTCCTGGGTTGTGTATTTCAGATGACACACACGCCCAAGGCCTTCATTGGACCTTTGTTAACACATGCAGTTGTGTGCGAGTCAACACAGAGTGCCAGTGATGAGCCAGGGATGTCACATAGAAACAAAGAATGGGACTGCAGATAAGAACCATTCGTCCCATCTATCTTGCTCAATTTTCTAAATACTTTCATTAGTCCCTGGCCTTATCTTATAGCTAGGACAGCCGTATGTATATCCCACACATGTTTAAACTCCTTCAATGTGTTAACCTTTACCACTTCAACTGGAAGGCTATTCCATGCATCCACTACCCTCTCAATAAAGTAATACTTCCTGATATTATTTTTAACCCTTTGCCCCTCTAATTTAAGACTATGTCCTCTTGTTGTGGTAGTTTTTCTTCTTTTAGATATATTGTGTTTAAATATATTGTGTTGATTCCCTTTATGTATTTACATGTTTCTATCATTTGCCCCGTCTCATCTTTCCTCCAAGCTATACATGTTAAGATCCTTTAACCTTTCCTTTCAAGATTCATCTTGCAATCTCTGAACCAATTTAGTAGCCATTCTCTGAACTCTTTCTAAAGTATCAATATCCTTCTGGAGATATGGTCTCCAGTACTGCATACAATACTCCAAGCGAGGTCTCACCAGTGTTCTGTACAATGGTATGAGCATTTCCCTCTTTCTACTGCTAATACCTCTCCTTATGAAACCAACATTCTGCTAGCATTTCCTGCTGTTCTATTACATTGTCTGCCTACATTTAAGTCATCTGAAATAAATATCCCTAAATCCCTTTCCTAAGGTGTTGACATAGGCGTGCGCACGGGGTGTGCCGGGTGTGCCTGGGCACACCCTAATCCCCGTGGCACGCCTATGGTTTGAGTCCTGCAGGAACAGCGTTCCTGCAGGCACTCAGTGCCCCCTGTTTCACCTCTTGCCCCTGTCATGGGAGGGCAAGAGGTGATGATTCCACCCACCCTGCAGCTCAGCCGCGGCGAGGGAGCTCTCTGCTGTCTGTCTGTCTGAGGGAGCAGAGAGCAGAGAGCAGAGAGCTCCCTCGCCGCGGCTGAACTGCGGAAAGGCGCCCGCCCCCACTGGACCCCAGGGAAAAGTCCACCAGCACTCCAGGTAGGAGGCTGGGTGGACATTTTTTTTTTAAATTAAAATATAATAATTTGTGTGTGTGTGTGTCAGCGTGTCTGTGAGTGTGTGAGTATGTGTCAGTGTGAGTGTGTGTCTGTGAGTGTGTGAGTATGTCAGTGTGAGTCTGTGAGTGTGTGAGTATGTGTCAGTGTGTGTTTCTGTGAGTGTGTGAGTATGTGTCAGTGTGTGTTTCTGTGAGTGTGTGAGTATGTGTCAGTGTGAGTGTGAGTCTGTGAGTATGTGTCAGTGTGTGTTTCTGTGAGTGTGTGAGTATGTCAGTGTGTCTGAGTGTGTGAGTATGTGTCAGTGTGTGTGTGTCTGTGAGTGTGTGAGTATGTGTCAGTGTGAGTGTGTGTGTGTCTGTGAGTGTGTGTGTCTGTGAGTGTATGAGTGTCTGTGAGTGTGTGTGTCTGTCTGTGAGTGTGTGTGTCTGTCTGTGAGTGTGTGTGAGTGTGTGTGTGTGTGTGTGTCTGTGAGTGTGTGTGTCTGTGAGTGTGAGTGTGTGTGTGTGTGTGTATATATATATATATATATATATATATACACACACACACACACACACACGCGGCGTGTGTTTGTGCTTTAGGGTGCACACCCTAATGCAATAGGCTGCGCACGCCTATGGGTGTTGAGATTAGGACTATATCAAATATGCTGTACTCTGCCCTTGGGTTTTTACGTCCAAGATGCATTATTTTAAATGTCAGCTGCTACAACTCTACCTCTGTTGTTTTAACCCTGCAATGCTTTTAGTGCAGGAATAAACATGCCTCTAGTGGTTGTCTTCCTGAGGTACTTTTGCATGAGACCAGGATGTTGACACAAGTAGAAATTGCTATTATGGACTGGTGTCAAGAATATTTTTTCCCCTTTGGCCATCATTTCTAATTTTTGTTTTGCCCTCTTTTGTATCAACAGCATAAAATCATATCTTTAAATTTTAAAACTTGATGGATTTGAATCTTTTTTCAACTTAGATTACAATGTAAATAATAGTGATATGTTTAATCAACAGAAGTGTACATAATATTTAAAGAATTAACAAAAATTAAAACTTGAGGCTATTTTTGACGTAGAAATGGGAATTGGGGGCACACCCAGCTGTGCTGATGTAAAGACTAAAATCTGTACAAAATACAGTTAAAGGAACAGCGCGCACACACACACAAAAAAAAAACAGTTTTACGTGGCTACGTACATTAAATAACTTTGTAAACAAATATGGGGATTCAGTTCCACCGTATGGCCATATTGTGTTGAGCCCACCACTAAGGAACAGTGGTACTGTGATGTAGTGGTGGGCTTAACACTATATGGACATATGGTGTAAATGAATCCCCATTTTGTTTCCAAAGATAGGTGATTTTAAGTAGCCTTATTAGAGGGGCAAAGGTTTAAAAATAATATCAGGAAATATTACTTTACTGAAAGGGTAGTGGATACATGGAATAGCCTTCCAGCTGAAGTGGTAGAGGTTAACACAGTAAAGGAGTTTAAGCATGCGTGGGATAGGCATAAGGCGATCCTAACTATAAGAGAAGACCAGGTACTAATGAAAGTATTTTGTGTGTGTGTGCGCTGTTCCTTTAACTGCATTTTTTAAGATAAGGAAAAGGAGCATTTCACAAGATGTTTCTGCAGAAAATATTTTTACTCCTCGTTCCAAGAAAATTAAGATAGCCAAATTACATTCTGTACCGAAAATACTAAAACTTACAGCGGTGCACATCATGTAGCCCAAGCCGAAATCAAAACGGCATTGCTCATTCATAGAGTAATGAATCCCAGGGAGCTGAGGAAGGGAAGGCCAGTCATGTGCAAATGGATCATCTCGTAAGCAATCATATGAACTGTAAATAAAAATAAAAATTTAGAGCGACAGTAATACTTTATTTTTGGCTTATATAATCAGGTTATATAATATAAATTGTGGTAGTGCATATATTTAACGTGTTAATTAATGTTATGCAAATAGTGAGACATTGTATTCTCTTTTAAGAGAAGTGGCTGCTTTGTCAGTTTTGGCAGCAGTCACCCAGAAAACAAAGAAAACATGCGGAGAACCCCTCCACCAATTTTTGGCAGACATTAAGATAAGTCTCCCTATTACAGCTGCTTACTAGAGGGAAGAGCAGCTGGTGGAAAGTATCTTGCTGAGCCAGGCAACAAAGAAGCTCTCTGTTCTGGTGTTTGTTCTCCACCCCTTGCTGAGCTCTCTTCCTGTAAACAAAAATTTTTTTTTTCATTTGAACCTTGACAGAAGCACCACAAGTAATCACAATTCAGGTAACTGGTGGTTCCAAATTAGGGATTGACAGATTATTGGTTTGGTCGATATAATCGGCTGATATTCTGGCAGTTATCGTGTAGGTTTATAATGATACAGTTATTACCGATACGGCGGTGCCTGAGACCCAGCGCATGCTATCAGGAGCTGCCAGAAACAGAACATACCTTGTGTTGGGTTTAAGCTGACCCCTCCTCAATGTAAGTGGTATCAGGAGCGGACCACCCCCCCTCCATCCACACTCCCCTCCTGTTAGTACATCACTGGCAATATGCACAATGTACAACCAGGGCCGGATTAACATAGGGGCTGATGGAGCTGCAGCTCCAGGCCCATGGAATAGGCCCATTTTTGAAAGAAAAAAAAGACACTACACTACTCTTAGGTTTTCCTTCTGACTGGTATTTTAAGGCACAGCCTGTATTTGAGGCTGCCTGGCCGTGCTGGTATTGCAGTATTACCGGCAATACAAATGCAAATGTTTTTCTCAGTATAAACGGAGATTACTCTGCAATACCAGCACCGGCCAGTAGGGGTCACTGTGTATGGAGAGAGGCAGGGATAGGACGTTACAGCATATCATTCCCTGCCTCTCTCTACTCACTGATACACAGGGGAGCAGCTACACAGTACAGCGAGTTCAGACAGCCGCTCCCAGCCTGCAGAGACAGACTACAGCTCAAAGGCATCAGGGAGACATGGGGACACTGGGACACCAGAGGACACTGTGTGACGTGGGGACATAGGTAGACACATTGGGGCACATGTCTCCTAGTGTCTCAGTGTCCACATGGCTCCCAGTATCCCCATGCCTCCCAGTGTCCCCATAGCTCCCAGTGTCCACATGTATCCCAGCTAGTGTCCCTAGTGTCTCTGTGTCCCCATGTCTCCAAGTGACTGTGTCCCCATGTCTCCCAGTGACTGTGTCCCCATGTCTCTATGTCCCTAGTGTCTGTGACCCCGTTTCTCCCTGTGTCCCCAAATTTCTGTGTCCCCTTGTCTCTGTGTCCCATGTCTGTATCCACAAGTGCCCCCATGTCTCCCAGTATCCCCAAGTGTCTCAGTGCCCCCATGTCTCCAAGTGTCTGTGTCCCTGTGTCTCTGAGTCCCCATGTATCCTAGTGACACGGGGCACACTGAGACATGGGGATACTGGGAGAAATGGGGACACAGACACTGGGAGACTAGGGGACTGGGTGACATGCAGGGCCGTCTTTAACGCGGGGCAAACGGGGCAGGTGCCCCGGGCCCAGTTTCTCTTGGGGGGCCCGAGGCACCTGCCCCATGGGCCCTGCTGCCCTCATCAATTTATTTTTTTCCCCATCCTGAGTCCCACCGGGTGGCCGGTCGGGCAGGAAGGCGGGCGCGCGAGGGAGCACTCACTGCTTCCTCTTCAGCTCCCTCGCGCACCGCAATGATACCGGAGCCGGAAGATGACGTCATCTTCCGGCGCCGGCATCCCTATGCGGCGCCCGCCTTCCTGCCCGACCGGCCACCCGCCTGCCAGGTATCAGCAACAGCACCACTGGACCGCAGGGAATAATCCCCCCAGCACTCCAAAAGGTAAGGAGGCTGGGGGGATTACATTTTAAAAAAAAAATGTGTGTTTGTGTGTGCTTGTGTGTTAGTGTGTGTGTGTGTTAGTGTGTGTTAGTGTATGTGTGTGTTAGTGTGTGTGTGTATGTGTGTTAGTGTATGTGTGTGTGTTTGTGTGTTAGGTGTGTGTGTGGTGTGTGTGTGTGTGTCAGTATGTCTGTGTGTGTGTGTCAGTATGTCTGTCTGTCTGTGTGTCAGTATATATGTGTGTGTATATCTGTGTGTGTCAATATGTGTATGTGTCGGTATGTCTGTCAGTGCGTCAGTATGTCTGTTAGTGCATGTGTATGCATGTGTCAGTATATCTGTCTGTGTGCCGGTATGTCTGTGTGTGTGTGTCAGTGTATGTGCCTGTGTGTGTCAGTATTTCTCAGTGTATGTGGGTGTCAGTATATCTGTCAGTGTGTGGGTGTCAGTATTTCTGTCAGTGTATGTGTGTCGGTATGTTGATCAGTGTATGTGTCTGTGTGTGTGTGTCAGTATGTCGGTATATGTGTCTGTGTGTCAGTATGTCTGTATATGTGCCTGTGTCAGTATGTCTGTCAGTACGTCTACCAGTGTATGTGTCTGTGTGTGTGTCAATATATGTACCTGTGTCGGTGTGTGTGCCTGTTTATCTGTATGTAGTCAGTGTATGTATCTGTGTATCTGCTTGTGCGTCAGAGTGTGTACCTGTGCATCTGAGCCGCAACTTTAAATACAAATACACCCCTCCATTCAAACTTCAACACTACATATAAAACACACTCGTGCATTGAAACGTCAACACTACATACAAGCACACTCCTACATTCAAAACAAACACTACACATAAATGCACACTTGCATTCAAACTCCAGTACCACATACAAACACATTCACACAAACATACTCCATACAAACACATGCTTACATTCAAACATACAAACATGGCTCAGTGCTAAATACAACCCTGCAAGCATGGGAAATTGGTAGAGTCCCAGCTGTCAAAGCATTGTTGGAGTTGCACGACAGATGGGATTCTACCTTTAGTCCAACCTTGCAATTGGGGGTCGCAATAAAATTCATTCTACTTTAGTACCGCCACTGCGTTGGGATGGATGCCGTGATTGCATACCAGGGAGTGAGGGGCGAGAGCGGCAGGGCACAGGGGGCCCAAGCAAACACTTGCCCAGGGTCCATTCGTTATTAAAGACAGCCCTGGTGACATGGAGACACTGACACTGTGATGCATAGGGACACTGATGCCAGGCTGGCCTTCCAATTCTTTGGACAGACATACCCCCTTTTTGGGCATGTTCGCCCCTTTTGGCAGTTCTGGTCATGTGATTCGCATCAGTGGCCTACTCTTTTACCCCGCCCATTGGCTTCCTGCTTCACTGGACACTGCTGTTGGTATGGATTTACTTGAAAGATGAAAGCATAAATTAGATCAGGGGTAGGCAACCTTTTAGCAGCACTGTGCTGAAATATGATTGTGATGTCCCATAGCGTGTTGGTCCTATTTCTTTAAATTGAGGTGTGCATGTTGCCATATTCTGCTTGTGTTATTTATACTGCAGTTGCTTTGTATCGTATTTGTGCGTATATGAGCTATTATATTGTATATGTTCATTAAAGGAACACTATAGTCACCTAAATTACTTTAGCTAAATAAAGCAGTTTTAGTGTGTAAATCATTCCCCTGCAATTTCACTGCTCAATT